TTTCGAGCAGATTTGGAGTGGCCAGCCCGCTCTCCAGATTTGGCCCCTTTTTGTTTTTTCCTATGGGTTTTTTTTTGAAATCGTGCGTTTATGTGAACCTCCGAAGGACCCTACAAGATTTGAAGACCAACATCCAGGAAGAAATTGCCAACATAACACCTGCTATGCTGGCAGGAGTCATGAAAAATGGCAGAAATCAGTGTATGGAGAATGGGGGACGTCACCTACCTAATTGCATCTTCAAAACTATGTAAAATGAAACTTTAGATATGCGCCTACATTATAAAAAAAATTAAAAATTCTGATTCATAAAATGGGTTTTATTAAGTTTTGAAAAAAAGAAGTTATGCTGCCTCACTCTGTATTATAAATATTATATGTATATACAATATATTATATTACATTATATTATATTATTAGCATAGCACAGGAGACAAGGTGGAACTGTCTTCTGCTCCCCCCCCCCCCTTTACTCTTTGTTGTTCATTCATTCAGTCGTCTCCAACTCTTCGTGACCTCATGGACCAGCCCCACGCCAGAGCTTCTTGTTGGCCGTCACCACCCCCAGCTCCTTCAAGGTCAGTCCAGTCACTTCAAGGATCCCCCTTCATTCTTAAAACCTATTTATACCACTAAACCAGCGGTCCTCAAACTTTTTTAAACAGAGGGCCAGGCCACAGTCCCTCAAACTGTTGGAGGGCCTGATTATAATTTGAAAAAATAAATGAACGAATGAATGAATTCCTATGCATATTGCAAATATCTTATTCGTAGTGCAAAAAACACCTTAAAACAATACAATAATTAAAACGAAGAACAATTTTAACAAATATAAGCTCTAGAGCAGTACGTGTGAAAAAGATCTTGGAGTCCTCGTGGACAAGTTAAACATGAGCCAACAATGTGATGTGGCGGCAAAAAAAGCCAATGGGATTTTGGCCTGCATCAATAGGAGCATAGTGTCTAGATCTAGGGAAGTCATGCTACCCCTCTATTCTGTTTTGGTTAGACCACACTTGGAATATTGTGTCCAATTCTGGGCACCACAATTCAAAAGAGATATTGACAAGCTGGAATGTGTCCAGAGGAGGGCGACTAAAATGATCAAGGGTCTGGAGAACAAGCCCTATGAGGAGCGGCTTAAGGAGCTGAGCATGTTTAGCCTGAAGAAGAGAAGGCTGAGAGGAGATATGATAGCCATGTGAGAGGAAGCCACAGGGAGGAGGGAACCAGCTTCTTTTCTGCTTCCTTGGAGACTAGGACGCGGAACAATGGCTTCAAACTACAAGGTGATTTGAATGCAACATTCCTGCTTCTTGGCAGGGGGTTGGAATGGATGGCCCATGAGGTCTCTTCCAACTCTTTGATTCTATGATTCTATGATAATATTTCAATGGGAAGTGTGGGTCTGCTTTTAGCTGATGAGATAGGATTGTTGTTGTGTGCTTTCAAGTCATTTCAGACTTAGTTTGATCCAGAGCGAGGGCCAGTTAAATGACCTTGGAGGGCCGTATCCGGCCCTCAGGCCTTCGTTTGAGGACCCTTGGACTAAACTATGGTTTATGGTTAAACCCAAAGGGCTATTTACCTTTTCTAGTCTCTTGCTCATAGTCAAAAGAACTGGGATTCTTATGTTTCCACTGCCCCACAGAGCTGATCTCCCAGTTGTTGTGTGGGATGAGAGAGGGAGATATTGGGTCACTTGTGCTCATAGCATAGTTTTTAGAGCTGCCAAATTCCTTGAGCTGGAAACGAAAACATGTTACACATGACCAGACCCAGAAGAGTAAAACTGGTGGCTTTCCCCCACTCGGCAGAAACAATGTCTTTCAAAAATTAATCAGTGTTTGTTGGATGAGAGTAAGCTAGAGTTTTTCCTGCCTTCCCCAGTCCCACTCTGAGTTCTCTTTGGGAGAGATCTTTGTCTCATTCACAGAACCGTGGGAGAGTCCATTTCGAAAGAGTTTAATAAAACATACATAGACTGCTTCTCACTGTGAAAACTATTATTCCCCTGAGTGGAAAAGTGGCTGGCTGTGATGGTTAATGGCTGCTTTCTCTGACTTCTAACCTTCAGCTTGACTTTCTTTCTGCTTTTCCAACCCAAAGTGCTGTTGTTTCTCTGGCATAACCCTCCGGTTAAGGTAGCTGTTCCTGTGAGGCATGACAGGAATATATTTTATTTAACTCTGTTTATTAGAGTCATTTCAGTAGCACTAGCCGCAGTAATCAAGACTGTAAAGCTGGGTTGCATCTCATCGTTTCCTTTCCCATCTTTCCCGTGTTCTCTCCACATGCACAAAAGTGCGTATTGTTTATTAGATTCAATGTGAAATGAAGTGAATGGCCCAGAAATTTTGGAGCACAGCGATCCAGGTGTAGCCAGGCTGCATGCAATATACAATTGATAGTTGGAAGTGCTCATTTTCATAGAATCCTAGAGTTGGAAGAGACCTCATGGGCCATCCAGTCCAACCCCATTCTGCCAAGAAGCAGGAAAATTGCATTCAAAGCACCCCGACAGATGGCCACCCAGCCTCTGTTTAAAAGCCTCTACCACACTCTGAGGCAGAGAGTTCCACTGCTGAACAGCTCTCACAGTCAGGAAGTTCTTCCTAATGTTCAGATGGAATCTCCTTTCTTGTAGTTTGAAGCCATTGCTCCATTGCGTCCTATGGGCAGCAGAAAATAAGCTTGCTCCCTCCTCCCTAGAACTTCCTTTCACATATTTATACATGGCCCTCATCATGTCTCCTCTCAGCCTTCTCTTCTTCAGGCTAAACATGCCCAGCTCCTTAAGCCGCTCCTCATAGGGCTTGTTCTTCAGATCCTTGATCATTTTAGTCGCCCTCCTCTGGACATATTCCAGCTTGTCAACATCTCCCTTCAAATGTGGTGCCCAGAATTGGACACAATATTCCAGGTGTGGTCTAACCAAAGCAGAATAGAGCATGGGTAGCATGACTTCCCTGGATCTAGATCTTTTGGACCAGTCTCCATTAAATCCAGATATAGTACATTCAAATAAGGCAAGTATCGCCAAGGCCTCATTTGTGATGGTGGCCAAGATCAGTAGCCAACTTGGTCCTTAGGTTAACCTACTTTCATTATGGCAATACATTTTATTGTTTGGCCTATTGGCCATATCAAAAACATTTGACATACCCATACAGTACAACATAAGTTAAAATAAACAAGCTGTTAAAAAGGCTCCAATTCAGATCAAATATCTGCATCATACTTTCATTATGGGGTTAATAGCTATGCCCCTCGTTCCTAATGCTGCGACCCCTTAATACAGTTCCTTATGTGGTGGTGACCCCCAACCATAAAATTATTTTCGTTGCTACTTCATAACTGTAATTTTGCTACTGTTGTGAATCGTCATTTAAATATCTGATATGCAGAATGTATTTTCATTCCCTGGACCAAATTTGGTACAAATACCCAATATGTCCACATTTGAATAATGGTGGGGTTGGGGGGGATTATTTGGGAGTTGTAGTTGCTGGGATTTATAGTTCACCTACAATCAAAGAGCATTCTGAACCCCACCAATGATCGAATTGGGCCAAACTTGGCACACAGAACTCCCATGACCAACAGAAAATACTGGAAGGGTTTGGTGAGCACTGACAGTGTTACTCACTGCTCATTACCTCTTATTAGGCTCTTTTCAGGATACTTTAAGTCGTGTGAAAAGTTTGCACTGGTGTGCTGTGCACAAGTTTACGATCACAGAAGTCATTATCCCTGAGACATCCAGCGCTATTGAGAATCCAGAAGTGGCTTTGAATGCAGGCCTCCAGAGGCCAGAAAGTGGAGGATGTGCGTTGCATTTCTCTGTTATCCATAAGCCTGGAAATAATTTTGGCTTTTCAGAGCTTTTTAAGGCTTCTCTTTCCCCCACGGCAGCCAAACGAAGCTGATCTCGTGCTACCTTAGCCTCCAGTGAACACTACACTACACATCTCACTTGAAGTTTTTAAACTTTTAATCTTTGCAACTGGCCCAGCCCATTATATTCAATTATTGTGATTTTATATTACATCATTTGTTTACTTTGTTTTTATTTGTTTTTATTTTTTGGTGTTATTATTTTCATTATATTTTATTGTTGTATTTTTATGTTGTATATCTGTTTTGCTGTAACTGTTGGGCCTGGCCTCATGTAAGCCGCCCTGAGTCCCCTTGGGGAGATGATGGCGGGGTATAAATAAAGTATTATTATTATTATTATTATTATTATTATTATTATTATTTGAAAGATCGCTCTGCTGGCTGTTGTATTGGATCACACATCGGACACTTCTCAAGTGTCTAGGACTGTATGATGTATCGGCGAATAATACGTGCAGATCCCAGTAAGGTTGTTGTTGTTGTTGTTGTTGTTATTATTATTATTATTATTCCTTGACCTAACCAAATTTTACAAATGTCATAAGGAGCCCCAGTAAGGTGGTTGTTGTTGTTGTTGTTGTTATATTCCTTGACCTAACCAAATTTTACAAATGTCATAAGGAGCCCCTGGTGGTGAGTTAAACCGCCAACCTACTAAACTTGCTGACCGAAAGGTCAGTGGTTTGAATTTGGGGACCAGGGCGAGCTCCCACTGTAAGCCCCAGCTTCTGCCAACCTAGCAGTTCAAAAACATGCAAATGTGAGTAGATCAATACAGGAAGGTAACGGTGCTCCGTGCAGTCATGCCAGCCACATGACCTTGGAGCCTTAAAAAATAGAGATGAGCACCACCCCACAGAGTCGGACACGACTGGACTTAATGTCAAGGGAAAACCTTTACCGTTTAGCATTGTCATGATAAACCAAGTCCCTGTTTAGGAAGGGTGTGGGAAATGTGTTACTGTATGTCTGACAGCTGTGAAGTGAATGTTTGGTTTTTATTTGTACACCTCATTGCTGCATGCATATATGATATTCACTTACACTTGTGAATCCTTTCATTTTGATTTCTATTCTTCCATTTGGGGCTCTTCTTTCAGATGTTGGATAAACTAAAAGATCGCTGGCTGCACACTGACTTATGGGAGAAGCTTGAGCTGATCAAGACGGTGATAGTGGAACCCAAAGGAGGAGACAAGGCTGACTTTGATGAGCTGCTCCAAATCTACTATGATGCCATCAAGTGTAAGGAAGGGAAAGGTAAGTGGTCCAAGTGGAAATGGGGAAATAGAAAGGGAAGACAATGAGTGAAGCATTATCCTCTTCCTGCTTGAGGTGAGATTTTGGATCGAGCCCTCAAGATATTGTTTGACTGCAGCAGCTGAGTAAGAAGCAGCTGTATTATTTTTAGATGCAGAAAAAGCCTTTGATAATTTAAATTAGGATTAAATTCTGTTAGTTTGCATCACATAACAAATGTAACAGGGCTACTATGTTGTGTTCTAGACATTTTAAAATGGAAGCCCTGTCCCTGAATTAACACAGCAAACTTATAATCCATCTCATGCTAATGTTACCTCCTTTTGTTTCCATTTCAGGTGGTGCACTGCTTATTGCTGTCTGTCGAGGCAAAGTCAGTGAAGGCCTGGATTTCTCAGATGACAATGCCCGGGCAGTTATAACAATAGGAATTCCCTTCCCAAATGTGAAGGACCTTCAGGTAGGACATTGCTTCGTGCTATAAAAATTCATGCTAGAAAGCTGGGGTATAACCTCTTGGATAAATAAAACAAGTGGGATGCCATGAGGAATGCTGGGAGTTGCAGTCCAGCAGTAGCTGGAAGGCCACATGATTCCATTCTCTGGTGTTTCTCTTTTATCTGTTAACCTTTATCTGTCTTTCAGAACTAAATCTTAATATATTTGTTAGCAGGGTGTGTATTCCTTAAAGGCACCGGGGTTTAAAGGCTTCTCTTTGATTTACCTAAAGTAACAGTATATTGCCCCTGAGATTCTACATAAATAACAGCATGTATTGTTGTGGAGCTGGCAACAGTGAGACATTTTGATTAGGAAGAATGATATCACCCCAGCTCTGAATATTCCTTGCCTAAGAAAACCCTGTGAAATTCTTGGGATCACCATAAGTTGACTGGTCATATAGTCTGCGCGGAAGGATACATTCTCTACAGAATCTCATATTTTAAAATCCCTCCAATAATTATTTTATAACTTGTGAGCAGGCATATGTAAGTGGTTGGCTTTAAGCACGTCACAGATGGTCTTATTAGTTTAGATGACTTTTTAAGGAAATATTCATTTCCCTATAGTCTCTGGCTGAAAATGTGTTGGTTTATCTTAGTTAGAGGAGAACTCATTGTTAATAGGCGAGTCAACACCTATATAATAATAATAACAACAACAACAATACACCTTATTTATATTCTGCTGTATCTACTCAAAGGGACTCAGAGCGGATTATTTATTTTTGTTTATTTTATTTATATTTATATACCGCTTTTATTTTATTTGTATTTATATACCGCTTTTCTCACCCCTGGGGGGATTACAGTATACCCATGTATAGGCAAACATTCAGTGCCTTGTATACAGTGAAAAATGACATACAATACACAAATAATGGCATCTCCAGTGTCTGGAGGCAATGCTCAACTCTGGCCATGGGGAGCTGATCTTCTTCCATTTTCCATGCCGAGGAGCCTGTTGTCCATAGTGGTCATTTTTGCCAGCACCAAGGCAGTACCTATTGATCTACTCACATTGCATGTTTTCCAACTGCTAGGTTGGCAGAAGCAAAGGGCTGACAGCGGTAGCTCACCCCAACACATGGCTTCGAACTGTCAACCTTCTGGCCAGCAAGTTTTTCTGCAGCTAGCGGCTTGACCTGCTGAGCTACCACGGCTCCTTTATAAACCCCATTGATTCAGCGGGCCGGCTGTAATTGGGAATAAGAGCTGGATTTAAGTTCTGTGTAGGTGTATAAAGAATTGTTATTAAAAGGGCATTATTTGGGGCATATTTGGGTACAATGGCACTTATTTCTCATGCCAGTAAGGTAATGCTCAAGATCCTGCTAGGTAGACTCCAGCAAGACATGGAGCGAGATTTACCAGAGCAACAAGGTAGGTTTAGGAAAGGCAGAAGATCAAGAGACCAAATTGCCAACATCTGCTGGATAATGGAGAAAGGCAGGGAGTTTCAGAAAAAATTACTCTATTTATTTATTATTATTTATTTAGGGCTTTTATATCCCGTCCTTTCTCAACCTCTGCAGAGGGACTCAGAATGGCTAACAAAGTGGCACCCCATGGTGCCCACATCAAAACATAAATATACAATTAACAGCAGTATAATAATAACAATATAAAACAGTATAAACAATATAAAACAGTATAAAAACAGTATAAAAACCTTTGACTGTGTGGATCATAATGTGGCAAGTTCTTGGTGGGAGAGGGAGACCAAATCACCTTGTCTGTCTCCTGAGGAGTCTGTGGACAACCAAGTAGCAACAGTAAGAACAGACCACGGAACAACAGACGGGCTCAAGATTGGGAAAGGAGTACAGTAGGGCTGTCTACTCTCCCTTGACCTATTCGACTTGTATGCAGAACACATCATGGGACGTGCAGGGCTTGAGGAATCCAAGACGAGTTAAAATTGTTGGACGAAACATGAACAACCTTAGATATGCAGATGATACCACTTTGATGGCTGAAAGCAAAGAGGAGCTGAGGCGCGCCTTATAACCAAGGTGAAAGAAAAGAGCAAAATCTGGATTGCAGTTAAACATAAAGAAAACCCAAGATGATGGCAACCAGACTGATTGATAACTGGCAAATAGAGGGAGAAAACATGGAGGCTGTAACAGACTTTGTATTTCTAGGCATGAAGATTACTGCAGACAAAATCAGAAGACATTTCCTTCTTGGGAAAAGAGCAATGTTCAGTCTTAATAAAATAGTGAAGAGTAGAGACATCACACTGGCAACAAAGTTCTGCATAGTTAAAGCAATGGTATTCCCTGTAGTAACCTGTTGGTGGGAGAGCTGGACTATAAGGAAAGCTGAGTGAAGGAAGATAGATGCTTTTGAACTGTGGTGTTGGAGGAAAATTCTGGGAATGCATTGGACCGCTAGAAGATCCAACTAGTCCATACTTTAGGAAATAATGCCCGACTGCTCGTTGAAGGGAAGGATAGTAGAGGCCAAGATAAAGTACTTTAACCACGTAATGAGAAGACAGGAAAGCTTGGAGAAGAGAAGGATGCTGGGGAAAATGGAAGGAAAAAGGAAGAGGGGCTGACCAAGGGCAAGATGGGTGGATGGTCTCCTTGAAGTGACTGTCTTGACCTTGGAGGAGCTGCGGGTGGCAAGGCCGATGGGGAGCTCTGGCCTGGTCCTGGAGGTCACAAAGAGTTGGAAGTGACTGAACGAATAAATAACTAAATTTGGGTAAATTTTGACCAGGGTCTTCTCCTCTCCCCAAACACAGCATGGTTATTTATGCAATTAGGCAGTTGCCCCGTCCTTAATCATGCATCCATAATGGAAGAAAAGGGGTCTTTTTGAAAAGCCACATCTCCCTATTAGCTTGTGCCTTATGGAAATACGTCTCTGCAGCCTCCAGAAGTTGGCTGTTACAACCGAAATAAAGAGAAGGCTGTGAAGGCTCCAGCACAAAGCTCTGGTCCCCTCTCAGCGGGTCAGGGTTTGGCTCGGAAGAGGCAGGAAAATGCCGTCCCGGGCCAAAAAAATGACTTCTTTGGCTGCGACCAGATTTCCTCTGCTCACCTCTGGGACTTCAATATTGAGGTTGGAAAATGTGATTTTTGGAGCCAAGCGTGGCTTGGTGAGCTCGGCGTGTGATTTACCGCTCTTACCACCGGGACCTGGAAATGAGGAAACGCACTGTGAGATGTTGATAATGGGCGACTCTGAAGTGCAAACCTTAAGCTCATGTTCCCAAAGAGGATTTTCCTCACTTCCACCTTTCCCAGGCGCCTCTTAAGAGACTGTAATCCAGTAAGAGGCACTTGCGGGGAGGAAAAAAAGACTGCGTCTGAGCCTCTATATAAAGAGTCTAGTGCTTGGGAAAGTTCCTTTTTAAACTACAGCTTCCAGTGTAGCTACTGGCCATGCTGGCTGAGGGTTCTGGGAGTTGTAGTCCAAACACGTTTTCCCCCATGCTTTGATTGAATCATATATAGTCTATATAAATAAAAATGTAATGTTCGTTTGTGGGATGAACATAACTCAAAAACCACTGGACGAATTGACACCAAATTTGGACACAAGACACCTCTCAGGCCAACGAGTGACCATCACTCATAAAAACACTGAAAAACACAGAAGGGACTTAAAAAGCCAAAAAACAAAATATACATTACAACGCATGCATAAAACCATACACACACACACACATATATATACATACATACATACACAAATATATACACACTTATACACACACACAACATATATACACAGACTGGGCCACAACAACGTGTGGCAGGGGACAGCTAGTTGAAAATAAATTATAGGATCCTTGGCTTTCTCTGCATTCACACAAATATAATTGCAGGGATTTTCTCTTCAAATAGAAATGAATAAATAAATAGGCTAATTATATTATATTATATTATATTATATCTGCTAATAATACAATATAAAATTATATAATATATTGTATATACATATAATATTTATAATATTATAATGTAATAAAATATAATACTCGTGCGCCAACTGCGACCGTACCTCGCGAAGGCGGATCTGGCCGGAGTGGTCCATGCCTTGGTCACCTCCAGATTGGACTACTGCAATGCGCTCTACGTGGGGCTGCCCTTGAAGACGGCTCGGAAGCTCCAACTGGTCCAACGATCAGCAGCCAGGATGCTAACTGGGGCCCCTTACAGAGAGAGGTCAACCCTCCTGTTCAAGGAGCTCCACTGGCTGCCGTTTATATTCCGAGCCCAATTTAAGGTGCAGGTGCTTACCTACAAAGCCCTGAACGGTTTGGGACCAGCCTACCTGCGTGACCGCATTTCCATCTACGAACCCACACGTTCACTTCGGTCATCTGGAGAGGCCCTGCTCGTGATCCCACCGGCGTCGCAAGCGCGCTTGGTGGGGACGCGGGACAGGGCCTTTTCCGTGCTGGCCCCCCGACTCTGGAACACCCTCCCCAAAGACCTTAGACAGGCCCCTACATTGGCTGTCTTCAGAAAGAACTTGAAGACCTGGCTTTTCCAATGCGCCTTCCCAGATTAGGAAATCTCCACTACCAAGTCCCATAAGCACTTTATCAGAACCAATGATTGCTGCACATCGCACTTGCCCTAGAAGCCCTATATACACCTCTTGTCTTTTAATCTTGTACCCATTCTCTGGCCCGGTTTTATTGTGTTTAGTGTATTGTGCCTGTTGTTTATTTTGCTTTATTCTGTTTTAATTGTTTGATTTGCTTAGATTATTGTTGTGTTTGCTTATTGTTGTGTTGTGTGTTGAGGCCTTGGCCTGTGTAAGCCGCATCGAATCCTTCGGGAGATGCTAGCGGGGTACAAATAAAGTTTAATAATAATAATAATAATAATAATAATAATAATAATAATAATATATTATAATTATATATTTTACTAGCTGTACCCGCCACACATTGCTGTGGCCAACCTTCCCTCCCTCTTTCTCTCCTTCTTTC